GATATGGCTGTTGGGCAGACTTCTTCTCATGGTAAGGTTTTCAGAGTAAATTCCCCTAGAAGTACAATACTCTCAATTCATAGATACAAGATCATTTTAGAAAGAAAAAAAACGAAAACAATAAAAACCCTATTACACATTGGATTGGAATATAGATACATTTTGAATTTTGATCATAAAAACCCTACCAGAATTATTAAATCAATTCATCAATTAAAGTTACACATTCAAGATGCACACATAAACAAATAACATAAATAGAGATGGAAGCAAATTTAAGAACAATCATAGTACCCTAGTTACAAAACTAGAACAATCAAACACACATTCTCACCAAAAGGCACCAAAATCAAAGCATTAGTTTGTAATATAAACATCATAGAGTTCACAATCATACACACATATAGCAGGAATCAAGGGATAACTGGCTGTCACCCACGGGCACTGGGGAGACTAGAAGAGTCCGTCAACTCTTTTTATTTTTATAAGGTTGAAATAAGTGTCTGTAGACGCAAAGTAGTGTGTTTTAATGCATGACTTTCTTTGGCTTTGTTTAGTAGAGATCTACTCCGATGCTTACTGGGGTCCTATTTATGCTAACTATCACTCATCATTTCAAGAACACACAATTTTGAATGATGCCCAAATGGAATTATTAACAAAATTCCTCAATTCGATGATCCAGGAGAAACATACTAGGGAGAAAGAACGAAAAACTACCAGAGAGAAGGAACGAAATGAAAACAACTAGGGCAGAAATGTACCTTTGCGGATGTGGAGAGAGGAGGTGCGACAAGCGGCTGAGGAGGGAGGAAGGCCGAGCGATGATGAAGGAGAAGTGACAGAGCCGAAAGGGGAAGAGGGCGGGGAGCGATGAGGGAGGGGGAGGAGGAGGATGCGAGCGATGAAAACCTAATCGTCCATCGTTTTCGTGCAATACATCTCAATCAGTTTTCGGTCGGAATTTTAGTAAACAACCTGACTGCTGATTGAGTCAGCATGTTACTGGTCGAGTTAGCTGATTGAGTCAACATGTTACTGTCGATTAGCGCCTAGTAAACAGCCCTTATTCTTGTTTCTCCGTCTAAATAGTTTGGTTATCTGTTAAATGAATTATACATGCTTGTTTATCTTAAAGCCAGAATGCATCAAAGTGCAATGAAATTTCACTTGGTCGCAGGGCTGGCCCTGATATTTTGGATGCCCACGGCGGAAAGTCAAAAAAATGCCCCTTATAGTGAAAAAAAATTCAATCACAAGTATATATAAGGATATTTTTAACTTTAAAACAACATGAATAAAACGGTATTCATTATTCACAAATGAAATCTATGCAGATATATGGTTATCAAGATGTCAATTATTGATAACAACATAGTTTTAACTATTTATAGGTTTTTAGATAAGGCTTGAAACATAAATAGTTAAGAACAAGAATATGAGAAAGAGACTTTAACATGCATGGAATTGTCTTTAGTTGTAGAGTTTCGACCAAGTGCAAGTGATTCAGGCATCACATATATCCCAATAGCATCAAAGTGTGTGCTAACACGTCCATGAAATCCACCCCATGGTCCATGACTTATGCATCCTTCATAATTGGTTTTATCTCCCTACAAACCATCCAAAGAATAAGAACACATAAATCGGTACCATCCTATATATTCTTCAAGTAAAACACAACAAAAGATATAACTAAAACCTTACCATGAGACTATTGAGATAGACAAAGGATCGAGCAATGCATAGTAAAATAGACATCAACTGATTCGGGTATGCATCAAATTAAGTGTATGACAACAAACCCATAAAGAACGAAAGACATTCTACATAAGAACAATAGAAACACAATAAAATCATGTCACTCGTCCACTTTTAACATTTGATTGCACCCCTATCTCCAAAAACAGTCAAATGAGGCTTCTACAAATTCATGATGGTAATTCAGACTCATATGTCAAGTAATTTTCTGATGTAAAAACCTCTTCTGTTAAGCTCAGTATCTTAACCCTTGCCAAGTCGAAAATTATGACAGATGTTTAACACTTTTCATATAATTAATGTAGTTATGGGATTTAATTTCCCTCACAACCAAAATGCTTGTTGAAAAGTGATTCATGTTCAGCAATACATCTCTCCAACCCTTCAACAAATAGAGTTGGCCTCCTAAAAGTAAGCATATCTCGAGACACAACTTCACGTATCAATGGCGGGCCACAATTTAATGAGATGCTATAATCATATTGTAACATTTTAGCCCTCATAAAGCGGATTCATATAAGTATGATATAATTTCAAATAAATTTCAACAATAGTTTTACACCCTAAAAACGAATAGAACAACATGTGAAACAGTCAAACACAGTAAGTCAGTAACAAGTGAACAGTGATATAGTGATACTGATACAGTAAGTCAGTAACAAGAATTAGAAACATTAATCACAAACCACAAAGGACCAATTTCACAGCTTCATTATTAGGTTTTGCAATCAAATTAGAAACTTAAAAAATAAAATAAGTAAAGTAAATGAGTAATAACCCTAAGTCCCTAACCTCACAAGTCACAACTCACAAGAGAGAGGCAGACGGGCGACGGCAGTGAGCAGGCGATAGTCGAGAGCGACGAGAGAGGCAGCCGCAGACGGCAGTCGATAGTCGAGAGAGGCAGAGAGTGAGAGCCGATTGTGTCACCTTTCAAGTGTGTGAAGGCCGATTGCGATTTCGATTCGTGAATCGTGAACTAAATCGATTTCTGTTGTGAGTTCTGTGAGAGCGAGGGAGTGAGCCGTGAGGGAGGAAGATGGACGAATTGCAGAGTGGAATGTGGTAAATGGAAACGGTAATATTCTTAGGCACAATTCAAAACTGAACACATATATATAATATATATACATATATATATATATACATATATATATATATATAGGGTATATTTCTTTTACAATCTTGTGCATTTGTACAACCTTTGCAACCCAATTAATTGAGATATTTATAGAAATGATTGGGTTCACGTGAGACCAGCCTGTTTTCGTGAGACTGTGAGACCACATTTTTACACGTAAACTTCACAGTAAAAACACTGTAAAGGTTTTAAA